TACCTGCAATCAAAACCCGATAAATTTTAGATTATTTTTTATTCAAACTTTTGCATTGTTGATAATTTCAATATTATAATACCTAAATGAATGGGTAGTTTCGAAAAAAACAAAAACAAAAATAAAATATATAAACAAAAATAAAAAGAATTCAAATTAAAATAAGGCATTTTTGATTTCCTTTAAAACCCTTATCTCTTTCTTTTTCACTCTCTATCTTTCCTTCTCTCTTTCTCTCTCTCTCTTTCTCTCTCTACTTTTCCCTCAAATAAAAAGAGGAAGAAGAAGAAAAAGGAAAAGAATTCAAATTAAAATAAGGCATTTGTGCTTTCCTTTAAAACCCTCATCTCTTTCTCACTCTCTCTTTCCTTCTCTCTTTCTCTCTCTCTCTTTCTCACTCTCTATCTTTCCTTCTCTTTCTTTATCTCTAAATTCTTCTTTCTGTACTTCTCTCAACTAATGAGAAGGCAACTCTCAAATAAAAAAAAAAAGAAAAAAACTGAACCTGACCAAAAATGCCAGAAATTCGAAGGATCAGATCCTACTTATTTGTGATTCCACACATAACATCCAATATAAAAAAAAAAAATGAAAAAAAAGGAACGCCAGTAGATAAAATAATTTTGGCCAATCCAAAAAATTGACATTTGATATTAGCCGATACCAGAATTACACCAGAGTCTTGGAGCCTGGCAAAAAGGATACAAGCTGACACCTCTGAGCTAGAAACGGAAAGAGCTCAACAGGAGGGGACAGAACAAAAGGATGCTACTCCAGAGAAATCTATTTATGATCATTTTAATATTCCACTTCCAAAGGAGAAAATTCAAAATTACAGTTTACAATTAAGCATTTTCTGTCATAGATCAGTTGAAGAGAAAGATGTTTAATTATAAATCATCATAATTTAGAGAACATTAAGGAAACTAAGAAAAACAAATTACTTTATTAATAAATTAAAAAATATTGTTTGCTCATATAAATACATAGATTTTTTTAAATCCTAAATTTATCGTACCACAAAATTATTGTTGTTATTCCTTTCAAAATGGGATTGTAGCAAGTCTCGATAAAAAAAAATAAAACATAAAATATATAAACAAAAATAAAAAGAATTCAAATTAAAATAAGGCATTTGTGATTTCCTTTAAAACACTTCTCTTTCTTTCTCACACTCTATCTTTCCTTCTTTCTTTCTTTCTCTCTGAACTTTTCTTTCTATACGTCTCTCAACTAATGAGAAGGCAACTCTCAAATAAATAAAGGAAGAAAATGACTGAACCCGACCAAAAATGCTTGCTTGAAGGATCAGAGCCTACTTATTCGTGGCTGAAAAGTACCAAAATTCAGGGAGGCTCCAGGCATAACATCCAATATAAAAAAAAGGAAAAAAGAAAGGAACGTCGGTAAATAAAATAATTTTGGCCAATCAAAAAAACTGACACAAAGAAACTTTTGGTGTTAGCCGATACCAAAGTTCGCGCCTGATTCTCGGAGCTTGGCGAAAAGGATATCAGCTAACACCTCTGAGCTAGAATAAGAGATGCGACTGCTAGAGAAACTAACCATGCGTGAAGAAGCTAAAATTTCATCTGCTAATGATATTTCTGCCCTACTTAGGTACGAGAAAACACAGTAGATTGACACACCGAATACAAAATTTTATCTTATTTTCAATGAAAGCATAATTCAATTTTATTTTATTTTCAATGAATTGTCATTCGTCAATCTAAATAAAAATATTTGATTATACTTTATAGCTCTGCTCCGTTTCTTCGTTTTATGTCTTATGTTTCCGATAAACATCACCCAAGAATATCTGCAACACCTATAGCCATTATATCATCATTATATTAATATCTAAATTACAAAATATCTTAGTACCTAAATAGATTATATTTTAATTTCTCAGTATAGATTATTATCTTGTATTTCTCATTAAGTAAAAAGGTTTATTTTTATGTTGTCCCGAATTAAAATCATTTCAATTTTTGATTTCCATTTCCAACACAAGAACAAATTAGTTTTTGTTTTGATTTTCAAGCTCATCTGCTTTTAGCAAGATTCATTCATAGCGTGTGTAAAACATTTACTTCAATAAATACGAATATATATATATATATATATATATATATATATATATATATATATATATATATATATATATATATATATGAGTATAGCGCAATTTTATGATCAGTTTTTTTACACAAAATTTGAGGGTCGCACAATATTCAAAATGAAGCATCCCAGGGTAAAGAAGCAGGGTTTGTCAGTTCCGAACGAAAATAAAAGTACAGTATCTAAATCTTTGTACGGTATCTAAATCTTATCTAAATCAGATATTTTACAGTAAGCAATTATTTCTGACCATTTTGGTGTAGCTTTGTACAAAAAAGAATGTAAACCATTTATAAGCCCAATATTGCAATATTTGACTACGGTAGGCCTACCAATATTCATCAGAAGCTGCGGTCGTATTATAAAGAAGCTATATAAAAAAAAATATGGTTTTTTACAAAATAAATTCCGGGGTCGCAATATAAGCTTATACATATGTATATACGATAAATTGTTTATAGAATATTAATCCGCTTTTCAAACTTTTCTGTCATCATCCTTTAGAATATAGATAATAACGGCTCTCCACGATTTCCTTTTCTTTATTTTCAATGAATTGCCATATCTGTTTGGGAAAGATAAGGCAATTATTTCTTATTGCCTTCTCCTTGGCTTTGAATTCAATGTAGTTGGCTATTTCCGAAAGCCAAAGTGTCCAGTCTACCTTACTATTTAACCTATAGGTGGAAGAAGAGATGGGTTCATGCTTTTCCCAACGGTATTAATGCGATAGTGAAATAAATAGATTAGGCCCTGATCATCGATTTCTCTTTCAGCGTGGTTCGCTACAAACACTTCATTTGAATAGCACTAGACCCTTTACTACGGATCGAAAATAAATCTCTTTCAGTACATGAAAGATTTAGCGATATCGACTTCTATAAGTTTGGTGAAAGTTTTGTAAAACATTGTTTATCTGTAGTTATTTGACGTCAAACGTAAATGGACAGTTTTAAAGATAGATCTGTTCGGTTTTCCTATACACAGATATTTTCTAAGAACCATTTTGATATTATCAAGTAGTGACTACCTTTTAACTGTTGATAACACTAAGCGAATACTTGTGGACAAGTCACAATATGTCAGTCATTAGACTTTTACGTCTAAAAAATCCATACATTCAGTTAAAAGTAAAAATAAAATCAGTCTTGATAATGGCTAAGAGAATAACGAGAAACACACGGACAGACAGAACATTCGAATAATTTATATATAATTTATGTCCAGAAAAGAAAAAAATTATAAAAACACAAGAAAAATTAAATAAAAAACTTAAGTACAGTATCTTGTTAGTCGTTTTTAACGAAACGTGTATAAAAGAGGAATTTTCTGCCCAAATACACAATACACACGCACGCGCGCACACGTATACACACACACACACATATATATATATATATATATATACAGGGAGTCCACAAAAAGACATTACGAGAAACTTAGAAAGGGTGACAACTAAATTTTTGTTACATATAAAGATGTTATTATTAAAGTTCTTTTAAGGAGATTAATCTTATGTTTTTTTATGTTTTAGAACAAATGGAATCATATAGAAATTTATTAACGATTTGGATATAAACTTCACTATTAACTTAATATAATCAATTAATTTCGGCAGTCTATGTTGCAATTTTAATAAACTTTGACTAATGACTCTGTGGACAAACTTTATCTATATATATATATATATATATATATATATATATATATATATATATATATATATATATATATATATATATATATATATATATTCGACTCTTCCGTCGAATTCGACGTATGAGGGTCAAGCAGATCAGTTCCTAGGAAACCGACAGCTCGACAACAGCACATGATTATAGTGGTGAAAGTTTCGTGCAGGACCATCCACACTTTTTGAAGGGCCAAATACACTGACCTGGTGCACTACGTCTCACATGGTCCCCAAACGACCCTCCGCGGGTTTTGAATTCAGAGTTGTCCTTCTCTTAGACCAGTTGCCATCCAAGGCTATAGAACCCAGTCTGTTCTGCTATTTACCCATAGCTGGAGGGAGAAGAAGAGTATTCACACCTTTCCCAAGGGTATTAGCACGTAAGTGAATGTAATGGATTCGACTGGAATTCGAACACGGCTCTCCGATTCCTTAATCCAAGTCGCTATCCATTACTCCTATATATATATGGGTATGATAAAACACATACGTATACGCACATATTCTTGCACGCACATACATATTTTTACAGGTGTTATAAAAAGAGTGCTCAATGTTATATAGCAGAGCTATTAAGTATATATGTATATATATATATATAGTGAATATGCATAATATCCCACGTCGATAGCACGACTCGGAGTTTCATGCAAACATGCAGTCTTCAGGTGCAAAATACTCATTGACCGTTAATGCGTCATGAATTTCACGTTCTCGCTTTGTTGGTTTAATATTGTGTTAAGACTTGTTTATTTTATTATTGTTCCTTATAATATTATGATTAATTATTTATAATTTATATCGTTCGAATTCTTAAGGTTGAAAGAAGATAAATTTAAAAAAATTATTTTAAATAATTTAAAAAAATTGAATTTACGTAAACACGCTGTATATCAAGGGGGATAACTCTCTTTTTTACATAATATATTATTGAAATAATGTCTTATGGAATAAACTGCAAAAAAGAGAGTCGGATGTTTCCCCGATCACTACAATCTTAACCTGTTCATGGCTAGAGTTAACCTTTATCTCCTGCTCCTATGCACACGAATAGCCTCTAAACGTAACCCTCTACCTCGCGTGGCAGCTGGGCCTTGTAAAGGATGAATCTCGCTCTAAAAATGTATTAGTTGATTTCGAGGTGGCAAATGTTATTCAGGGATTAATCGTTGGTTAAAGGTAGAACATGCAATTTTCTTTTGTATGCATTGCGACCTATCTATCTATCTATCTATCTATCTATCTATCTATCTATCTATCTATCTATCTATCTGAGTTCCTCCTTTTCTTACTTTCTTTCTTACTTTTTCTTTCTAATTAATACCTGTTTTTATTTGCACACTGAAATCCAAAGGCACATTCGGATAGAAAAATATGCCTTTTCAAAGCTCAGCAAAGTATGAAGAAACAAAAAATTCGTTAGAAACAAAAAAAAGAAAAGAAAGAGTAATGAACACTTATGGATCTGCCTATATAGCAGTGAATGCTGAATAATCTCAGCGATGAAGCAACAAAAATGTGGTTCTACAGAAGGATGCGGAGAATAGCATGAACCGAACATGTGATTTATCTATCTATCTATCTATCTATCTATCTATCTATCTATCTATCTATCTATCTATCTATCTATCTAAGAAGATTTCTTTCTTTTCTGCTTTCTTTCTGTCTCAGTCCGTTCAGGTTGGTGCAAAGGTAACATTCTATTTCAAGGTCTGTATTAACGATAAAAAAGCCCATATTATGAAACTATTTATTTGTTAACATAGCCTCCTTTGCTTTCTAGAACATCATTCCATCTGTCAACAAGCTTATAAATGCCACGCCTGTAAAATTCCTTAGGTTTTGAAGCAAAATACGAATCCAACCCATTTTCAACCTTTTCACTTGATGTCAACCTAAGACCATCTCAGTGATTCTCTAGTCCCCGAAACAAGTGATAATCAGAAGGAGCAAGGTCAGGAGAATATGGTGGATGAAGCAATATTTCCCAACAAAGCTCTTTTAAAACACTTTTAGTCAAGCGAGGTGTGTAAGGACTAGCATTATGGTAATGGATGATGACACCCTTTCTGTATTTGTCTATATTTCTGAGATGAGGTGTTATGTACACTATTTACATTATTCGGACTATTGTCCTCATCTTTGAGCCGATCAAGCATAAAAATGAATACAATATGGGAACCAGTAATAAGGAGTGCCGGAGAAAAGCGATAATAACAAAAAAATTGCAATATGAGCTCTGGTAAAAACATGCAATGATAACAGCAAAAAATTGCAATATGAGCAATGGTAAAAATGGTTGCTGATGACATTAGGTTTATAATATCCAGAAATTCATGCACAGATGTTTTCAAGGACACATGGCACAGTGGATAAAGGTGTTGGTTAGATCCAGTGATAGGACCCAAAGAGTGTGAGTTCAATACCCTGTGAAGGCAGTGGAGAACTTGGAGAGGGGAATAAACAGGACATAAATGACATCCATTAAACGTGGAACTAGAACAGTCTACGCCAATGAGCGAAATAAAGGGTTCAGTTCGACATTCCAACCACCTGATAAATATGGCGACAAAGATGAGAACAATAGTCCGAATAATGTAAATAGTGGGCACCCTTTCTGTTCACTAAGGCAGGTCGTTTTTGATTCGTAGCTCTTTTCAAATGACGAAGTTGATCACAGTAATTCTTAGCTGTAATTGTTTGAATGTTGTTTAACAGTTCGTAATGGACAATTCCTTCACTATTCCACAATACACTCAACATTGAATGAAATCCTCCTCTTGATTGTTGAACTCCTTAGCTGATGGGTGGGGGTTTAACGTTATGGTAAAGGATCCACTTCTCATCGCCTGTAACAAGCCTAGCTAAAAATAGTGCCTGAAGGTGTCGTGAAAGCAATGATTCACAACAAGCAACACGTTGTTGCAGATTCTCTGGAGACAGTTCGTGTGGGGCCAATTTCCCAACCACTGAAACCTCTTCGATCCTTTTTAATTAACGTATCACGGTTGTATGGCCTACGTTAAATTGTTCTGCAAGTTCTCTAGAGATAATGGTTGGATTGTCTGTGACAACATCTTCCAACTCTTCGGAATCAAGTTTTTTGGACGACCCTCTTTTTTCTGGTCTTTCAAACTGAAATCCCCATTTCAGAACAGGAAAACCACCTCCCGCAACTTCTTTCATTCACTGCATTATCTGCATTAGCGCTCTGAATAGATTTCGCTGCTGCATTTGCATTGACACCTTTATGAAACTCATAAAATAAGATATGTCGAATGTGATCTTTAGATGGGAGGAATATGGATGCAAATATTGCGGAATATCATGAAAAATATTTTTATAACGTGAAAGAGAAAGGTATAAATTAGTTATTGTGACATTCCTTAACTATAACGAGAAGTAAAAATTTCATAAATACTATCTAAAAATTTCTTCTCAAGTCGGACATTACTTTAGCACCCATGTGATATCTATCTATCTATCTATCTATCTATCTATCTATCTATCTAAGAGAGTTTCTTTCTTTCTTTCTTTCTTTCTTTTTTCTTTCTCAGGCTGTTGCTATCTATCTATCTATCTACCTATCTATCTATCTATCTATCTATCTATCTATCTGAGAGAGTTTCTTTCTTCTTTCTTTCTTTCTTTCTTTCTTTCTTTCTTTCTTTCATTTTCAAGCCGTTATTATCTATCTATCTATCTATCTATCTATCTATCTATCTATCTATCTATCTAAGAGAGTTTCTTTCTTTCTTTTTTCTTTCTCAGGTCGTTTTATCTATCTATCTATCTATCTATCTATCTATCTATCTATCTATCTAAGAGAGTTTCCTTCTTTCTTTCTTTTTTTCTTTCCTTTTCAAGCCGCCCCTATCTATCTATCTATCTATCTATCTATCTATCTATCTATCTATCTATCTATCTATCTATCTCATACTCGACTTTTTACGAAACAAAACTCTCAAAAGAAAAAGAGAAATTAAAAATATATGTGCTTAACGTTAAGCAACGTTTGTATCAGTCTCTTTCCGCCCATCAATAACCTGTGTGAATTGCAATTGAAGATAAAAAAAGATAATCTTTAATCAGACAACCTTCTTTTTTTCATTTCCCTTTGTCATTTATTTTCTTTCAAGTGTCTGTAAACGGTTCTTTCACGCCACAAATAGCGGCTATAATATAGCAAAATCGATATCTGATCTATCCGGCTTTCCTTATCTAGCTAACGCTCGAGCAATTTTCAGATTTTTCCATAAAGTTTTTCTTTTTTGAAGCATTCAGACGTGATTTTGGAGACAATAAAGTGCGACCATTATATGACGTTCATCCGAGTTACCATTACCAAAACGTTTATTTATTTATTCCTTCACTTCATTCATGTGTTTTTCTTCTTTTATGACACTGAAGTTTTTTTTCTTTCTTTCTTTCTTTCTTTCTTTCTTTCTTTCTTTCTTTCTTCTTCTTCTTCTTCTTCTTCTTCTTCTTCTTCTTCTCTCGTCTTACTTCTCAACTTTCTTCTTCGTCCTCTTCTTCTTCGTATTCATTCTTTTCTTTCTTCTCGTCTTCTCTTCCTCATCTTTTCTTCTTTTTTATTCCTCTTCTTTGTCTTCTTCTCTTCGTCTTCTTTTATTTCACTTAAGTTCTTCTTTCTTTTTCTTCTTCCTTTTCGTCATCTTCTTTTATTTCTTTCTTCTTCTTCCTCTTTCTTTCTTTCTTTCTTTCTTTCTTTCTTTCTTTCTTTCTTCTCTCCGTCTTTCGTCCTCTTCTTCCTTCTCTTCGTCTTTGTTTGTTTGTTTGTTTCTTTCTTTTCTGTATTTTGATTCAATCCCCTCTTCAACCTTCTTCTTTTCCGTCACTCTCCTCCTCCTCTTTCCCTTCCTCTTCTAAAATTTTCTTCTTAATTATCTCCCTTGTCAGTCTTTAATTTTCCTCCTACTCCTGCTTCTTAGTCTACAGCCTCTTTTTCATTCTTCTTTATAGTTTTCTAATTCTTTTTCGTTATTCCGATTCCTCTTCAACTTACTCTCCTTCCTTTTCACCCTCTTCTTCCTCTTCTATCTTCTTTTTCAACTTCATCCTCAATCCGCATCCTTCTTACATTGTTTCTCTTTAGTTTTCTACCCCCTCCTCTTTTCTCTGACCACCCCTTCCTTTTCTGCACCCTCCTCATAATGCCTCTTTTTAGTCTTCAATCCCCTCCTCCTTTTTTTTCCGTCCCTTCCTCAGTGGATTTAGCCCTGAAATAGGTTTAAGTGGGTAGTAAATAGTACATTAATGAATTTGGTATCAAAAGAAAGAACATTTTATATAGATTTACCAAAAAAAAAAAAAAAATAAAGAAAGAAAAATGCCAACGATATAAAAACAAGAACTGATTTGATGGGCAAAATTTTTACAAGGGTGAAATTAAGGGTTGACGCTCTCTGAATTTGGGAATTTTTCTCATATGCGAATTAATATTATTTCTGGTAATTTTCCTAAATTTCTTACTTTGCCCAACCTTAAAGAACTTTCTAATGCAAACAGATAAAAAATTATGATTTTGACAATGAATTTAATTATCTTCCATTTCATTCTATCATGCAATAAAAACCTTGGAACATGGTTTGTTCTTTTAGCAGGTGAATATCAGGTTTAATAAAACCTTTTAAACTCACTTAGCATTCGTTTACACCAGAGTTAATTTTTCTGGTTTCTTGCGTCAAATTACTGAAAATAGAAAATTTTTCACACCCACGGCATTTAGTAAATTCAGAAAGAATTAACTTCTTTTCTGCTTATTTAAATGAAGAAAAAAAAATAACGGAAAATTCGCAGAAAGTTCATGAGTTCTGTAGACGTGATTATGCCAATATTTTGAGGTAAGAAACAGCCAGGAAGAGCATTGAACAAATTCCAAGTACATGCAAAAAAAAAAAAAAAAAAAAAAAAAAAAAAAAAACAAAAACAAACAAACAAAAAACAAAAACAGAAGTCTCTCTCTTTGATTGGATACATCACTGCTTCTACTGTGGCTTAGAAGATAAATTTGAAAAAAATCTTGAGACACACGAAGATGAGTGGGTGCAGCCGATCTCGTTCATGCTAAAGCTCAATACCACGTTGAGTGCAAAACTAGTTTTCATTTGAAAGCTCTAACACCTCAAAGTGGCACCAAGTGACGTCAGATTGATGTTTATATTGAAGTTAAATTTGAGAAAGCTTGTTCATACTTTAAGAATATCGCAGAAGTATCTATTTTTTTTATGATAAAACAGTAGACTGGTGCATCTTCAAAACTCTGAATGACCAGAGTCTTACAGCTGATATCTGTCGTCTGACTCAGCTGGGGATAACCTAGCAGGTGACATCCAATACCTCGAAAACGAAACTAGTATCATCACTGAGCGGACCCTGAACTTATCGAGCGAACCTATCATGATGAACGGTTGCTCTTCCAGATAGGCCAAGTGCATTTGAGCACCTATTGAGACAAACTCAACCTAGACCTCAAGTGGAACTCGTACCTACAATTATGCTGGGAGAATGGTTGGTTCCCTGTACTGCTTCAGTAAGTACCTGACTCCTTCTGCTATCCTCTATCTTTACAAGAACCAGATCAGGCCAAAAATAGAGTATTGTTGCCATATATGGACAGGAGCTACTTAGTCTTCACTTTTCAGTCTCAATAGTCCAAAAGTGTCTCCGTGTCTTTAAGGGGGACACATTATTTTTTTTATCTTATAACCTCTTTCTCACAAACAAAATCTCGTAAGCCTCTCACTTCAATATTTCCATGGTTTCCAAGAACGCGGGTGAGCGCTCATTCTTTCATCAGTACAGCTTGGAAAGTCTCAAGGTTTATCTTGACCCTAACAAGGCCACTGGTCCAGACAAAATCCCAGTGGTTGTCCTTAAGAATATAATCCCAGAGTTATTCCTAATCTTAGCAAAATTATTTAATTGCTGCATGAAGGAGAAATCCTTCCCAAGTTTGTGGAAGGTATCAAGTGTATACCAGGTATTCAACAACACAGGTGAGTGCTCATCCCTCTCTCAGTACAGATCCATCGATCTCCTTGATGTCATTAACAAACTTTTTGAAGCTATAATCAAGGAGGTTGTTGATTACTTCAATAGGAATAAACTCTTGAGTGACGAGCAGTACAAGTTTTGAATGGTCTGATCCACTATTGATATCCTAACTGCTGTGAGGCATGAGACAACGAATACATCTCAAGGATGATGTCATTAGATATTTCAAAGGCCTTTGACAAGGTGTGGCATAGAGGGTTGTTGCACAAGCACTCTAACTATGGAATCACTGGAAAAGTCTTTTTAATTATAAAGTCTATGGAATAACACAGTAATTCCATCTACATTTTACGCGCGCGCGAGTTTTCCTCCCTTCCTACCACACTTGTGTGTGTGTGTGCGCGCGCGCAGATTGCCCCCCTTCCTCTCTCTTTCAGCTAGACGTAGCAGTAATCGCTGGAGGGAGGAAGGTCGCTTACTAGCTCCTGCTGATAAAGTCAGCCTAACAGAATTTGAATTTTCTCCCGCGCGTTTTCTTGACGTCACAGACGCCAGCGTTCCAACTCAGTTGCATCCCGATTTTCAAGCTAACTAGACGGGCAACTCATCTATTCCGTGCCCTTAACCCATATGCGGAGACTTCTCGTATCCGTGAACATTTTAACTACTTTGAACCTGAACCTAAAAAAATATTACATACACTCACAATACGAAATTCCACAGTGAGTACTTTTTCTATTTGTGCACACCTACACCTCGTGTTAACGAGTCATATTTTTCCAGAACTTTCTGATAAAACCTTTTCCCGCCTTGTTCATCTTGCTTTCCTGTTTTGGCGCGGAACACTTTCTCTGATGATCTCGAATGACGAGACAACCTACTTGTTTCTATTTAATAAAAATTTCATATATGTTTTTCAACCAGACGCCTTGTGTCGTTTAATTCCGGCTATCTACTTGTATTATTATTTATGCACTTGTTGATTGACCCCTTTTCCTCACTAAGTTCACTCACGCAATATATTTCTACTTTGCTTGTGGATTCGGTAGTTTTGTGTAGTGTCTGGCACAAGGCCACTTTTTAATAAACCAGCACTGCACGCTACCGAGTCCGCAACAAGTCCTTCCTAACAGGTAGGTTCCTGAAGGTAGTTGTTAACAGCCCCTCTGGGGCCCCTAGCAATCATTGCAGGTGTCCTACAGGGGCCACTTCTCAGACCAACCCTATTTTTACTTTATATAAATTATCAACCTAAGAGTATACTCTAATCATTTGTGAATGTCTATGCTGATGATATAATGGTATATGGGTGCACCACCAAAATTCTAGATGACCAGAGATTGGAAGCTGATCACTCCTCTAAAACAGCTATAACATTTCAATGAGGGAAATCTGGCTGGTTACATTCAATATCTCAAAACCAAACTAGTTACATTAACCATCATCGCCAATCGGATCCTGAACTATTGATATCCTAATTGCTGTAAGGCATGAAACAACAAATACATCTCAAGGACGATCACATTAGATATTTCAAAGGCCATTGATAAGGATTACTGCACAAGCTCTCCAGGTATGGAATCACTGGAAGAATTTTTGCAATTATAAAGTCCTTCCTTAACGAATAGTTTCATGAAAGTAGTTATTAACAGCCAGTCTTCTGAAGCCTTAGAAATCAACAAAGGTATTCCTCAGTTCAACTCTTTCTACTTTATATAAACACTGGTATTGAACATTTATTGGGGCAAGCTCAACTCAGACCTCAAGTGGAACTCATATATAGAATCCATGGCTAAAGATGCTGGGAGAATGGTTGGTTCTTTGTAAATACCAGACTCCTGCTAGCCTTTACATTTAAAAGAGCCAGATCAGGCTGAAACTAGATTACCGCTGTCATATATGGGTAGGAGCTGTCCAGCCTTTACTTTCCAGTCTTGATAGAATTCAAAATCGTATCCGTGTCCTTGTGGGTGATTAATTATTTTCCACCCAACAACCCCTTTCCGGCAACAACCCTTTTCCCTAACCCTGAACATTGCGCGCCTCTCACTTTGCTAGCCTTATTTCCATATAAAGTGTTCACACAAACTACATTCTTTGCTTCCACCAGCTAATTACATGGCTAAGATCCGCCATACCACACCCATTTTAGCGAACCACCCTCATTCTCTTCGTATTCTGTTGGTGAGATGTAAGTTCCAATCGAGCAGCTTCTTCCCACGAATCGTTGCTTTGTGAAAACGGCTTCCAAGAGCTTAACCGACTCATGTCAAAGATTAACTGTTATCATCCTCACACATTAACAGTCTCGTATTCTCAAACACTTTACCTCAAGTGGCTCTTGGGTCTTGTAGAGGGTGAAAATTATTGTAAAAACAATCTAAGAAGCGTCAAGATTTTTTGACCTCCAAAACTGTACAGCTATTACATTTAAAGTGATTTTCCAAGCGTTGCTTAGATGTGGCACAAAGCCGAAAGTAAGGGGCACCCAGTGAGAATCGAAATCACTATTCAGTCGTAAATGTGCTAGCGAAACAAGCTTGCTAACCATTACACCACCTCGAGGGGCCCAGCTATTACATTTAAGTAGTAAAACAGTTAATACGCACAAAGCTCTTGACTGGGAGTTTCATCTTACTATTAGTAAGACACTAAATTTGTCCACAGCAATAGGTCATATTCCCAATACAAAAAAGTCTAGATTGCATCATCAAATGTTATTGAAATTACCAGAAGACCATCCTTGCCTGGATGACCATCTAGGTGTAAAGAAATTGTTAACCGTACGAAGAAGCAATCGCAAATGGGCTAGTCTTTGAACGGACTTTTCACTATATCAAATTATTAGGAGGCCCTTAAAATCAAAAGATGTTTAACGCGAGGCACCGGGAGATATTACAGTATCTATAAAGTTGCTCTGGGTCTACAGTATCCGTCATGCGTGGGAATACATCATCCAATGACACAAGTAAAATGAAAAAGTCATGTGACAAGTAAACAACATACGTAGCAGCCGGTGTTTGATTTTCTGACGATCTTGAGCATCTCTAGAAACATTGGTTTCCCTAATACAAACTTCTTAATGCTGATACGCCTCAGTTGAAATCCGTTTCAATTGGGCTGACTGCCTCAGATAAAAGCATTAATTGCGATGAAACTGACACATTTGATAGCAAAATCTTGAGAATATCTACAGAGAAAACCTCCATTAAACAAGCTGACAAAATCATGTCTCTCAACATGGCGTCAACATTGAAAAGAAGACGGTGAATACAGATCCATTGGATTCACTAGATTCGTTTTTCTGCTAGAGCTGACTTGAGGAAGTGGTTTAATTACTTTCAAATAATGCTGTATTATCTTCTTAGAGAGAAAAAAAAACTTCACGCAAGAAAGAGATGTTGCCAAAACAAATTAAAAATGTAGTACGCTAGAGGAAGCTGAAGAGCAGGTGGAAGTATTGAAAATCTTCGGATAATTAAAACAATTCCCAGAAGTAGCAGTTATTTAATTCTAGATTGCACAAAGTTATGTGGAGATCAGATGATACTTAGAAAGAAGTTATTCAGCAATACCAAATGTATGTAAAATCCGAGTATTTAATCTGTTCAATGATGTTTCATGACAACAAAAATGGACCAAGTGCTAAGAACCATAAAAAACAAGAGAAAGTCACAGAAGATCAAACCTCGTGCTGGTATCACAGCTTTTGAAAATATACTCACATACAGAAGCCAATGTTTCTGTCCAATAATAGCAAGAGTGAGTAGATTGCAAAATTACTCAAAATGTACTTTTTTCTTGATGGACATCACATTGAGATTAGCACTGGATATGTCGATAAGAATCTTTATTTTTTTTTAGAATTTTCCATATTTAACATTTTATTTGATGGTTATTTATGGGAAAAAAGATATATAAAGTTTTATATATCAGAAGAATCTTAGTAAAATATATGTCAATTCAGAAAACACTTTCCTTGTGACGCGTTTCGTTTCGTCGTTTAGGACTTCATCAGGGTAAAGTATGAAATGCTTTACACGAAAAAATTTTCGACTTTGCATTAGATTTTGCTAAAATAGTCATTTCTCAAATAATAATCCAAGCTTCCAAATTATGATTTCACCTTCGGCTTCAAAAGTTTGATGAAGGGATCGTTCCTCAGAAAAAGTTGCTCATTTCAATAATGACGTCATCATCTAAGTTGGAACTGTTTGTTACACTTAGTGTTTTATATTTCATTCAATATTTGAGAAATATTGTTATACAATAAGGTATTAGAGCTTGTTGAAAGGTGGTTATCTTCCCCTCTTAAAATGAGTGGCAAAAGCAATAAATCTTTGATATGCACTAAAAATATTTGCCCATTGATTAAGGTTTTGTTTTTTTTGCATCATTCTGTATAACCTTAGACGTCTTTTGATGCAGAAGTTTACTAATTTATTCTGGGTTAAAGTGTAAATCCATTGGACTAATAAAGTTTCTTTTTAATATTCATCTTTCTCTCTTTCTTTTTCTTAAAACTCCTCCAACCATTCCTTTTACCCTATCCTTCTCGTACTGCTTCTCTTTAGTTTTTAACACTTCTTTTTCTCTTTCTCTTCGTTTTTTCTCCATACATTTGGAATACGATGACGAGAAGACATCCATCTCTTCATCGTACTCCACATGTATTGTCCAGTACAACATCGTTTTAAACTCTCTCCTCCACTCTCTTGATCTCCTAGTACTCCTTTTCCTTTTTCTTCTTAGACTTCAATTTGCTTCATCTCAATTTCTTTCAAATTCCACTTCCCTCCTCTCTTCCGCCTAACTTTATTTAGTATTCAGCGTTCTTCTTTTTTTTTCTCCTCCTCCTCCTCATTTTATTTAGTATTCAGCGTTCTTCTTTTTTTTTCTTCTCCTCATCCTCCTCATTTTATTTAGTATTCAGCGTTCTTCTATTTTTTCTTCTCCTCCTCCTCATTTTATTTAGTATTCAGCGTTCTTCTATTTTTTCTTCTCCTCCTCCTCATTTTATTTAGTATTCAGCGTTCTTCTATTTTTTCTTTTCCTCCTCCTCATTTTCCCCTATTCATTTTATTTTTCTTCTCCTCCTCCTCATTTTTTTAGTATTCAGCGTTCTTCTTCTCCTCCTCCTCCTCATTTTATTTAGTATTCAGCGTTCTTTTTTTTTTCTTCTCCTCCTCCTCATTTTATTTAGTATTCAGCGTTCTTTTTTTTCTTCTCCTCCTCCTCATTTTATTTAGTATTCAGCAGCCTTTTTTCTTCTTTCCTTTTTATTTAGTATTCAGCGTTCTTCCTTTTCTTCTCCTCCTCCTCATTTTATTTAGTATTCAGCGTTCTTCTTTTTTTCTCCTCCTCCTCCCCTACTTTTTATTTTTTCAGCGTTCTTTTTTTCTTCTTCTCCTCCTCTTCCAGATTTTATTTAGTATTCAGCGTTCTTTTTTTCTTCTCCTCCTTTTTATTTAGTATTCAGCCTTCTTTTTTTTTTCTCTCCTCCTCCTCATTTTATTTAGTATTCAGCGTTCTTTTTTTCTTCTCCTCCTCCCCCTACTCATTTTATTTAGTATTCAGCTTCTTTTTTTTCTTCTCCTCCTCCGCCACATTTTATTTAGTATTCAGCCTTTTTTTTTCTTCTCCTCCTCCTCTTCATTTTATTTAGTATTCAGTGTTCTTCTTTTTTCTCCTCCTCCTCCACCTCATTTTATTTAGTATTCAGCCTTCTTTTTTTTTCTTCTCCTCCTCCTCCTCATTTTATTTAGTATTCAGCGTTCTTCTTTTTTTTTCTTCTTCTCCTCCTCCTCCTCCTCCTCATTTTATTTAGTATTCAGCGTTCTTCTTTTTTTTTCTTCTCCTCCTCATTTAATTTAGTATTCAGCGTTCTTCTTTTTTTTCTTTCTCCTCCTCCGCCACATTTTATTTATTATTCAGCCTTCTTTTCTTTCTTCTCCTCCTCCTCCTCATTTTATTTATTATTCAGCGTTCTTCTTTTTTTTCTCCTCCTCCTCCTCATTTTATTTAGTATTCAGCCTTCTTTTTTTTTCTTCTCCTCCTCCTCCTCATTTTATTTAGTATTCAGCTTCTCCTTTTTTTTTCTTCTTCTCCTCCTCCTCCTCATCCTCCTCATTTTATTTAGTATGCAGCGTTCTTCTTTTTTTTTCTTCTCCTCCTCTTCCACATTTTATTTAGTATTCAGCGTTCTTCTTTTTTTTTTTCTCCTCCTCCTCCAGATTTTATTTAGTATTCAGCGTTCTTCTTTTTTTTCTTCTCCTCCTCCTCCACATTTTATTTAGTATTCAGCCTTCTTTTTTTTCTTCTCCTCCTCCTCCTCATTTTATTTAGTATTCAGCGTTCTTCTTTTTTTCTCCTCCTCCTCCACATTTTATTTAGCATTCAGCCTTTTTTTTTTTTTCTTTGTCCTCCTCCTCATTTTATTTAGTATTCAGCCTTCTTTTTTTTCTTCTCCTCCTCCACATTTTATTTAGTATTCAGCCTTCTTTTTTTTCTTCTCCTCCTCCTCATTTTATTTAGTATTCAGCGTTCTTCTTTTTTTCTTTCTCCTCCTCCTCCCCTACTCATTTTATTTAGTGTTCAGCGTTCTTCATTTTTTTCTTCTCCTCCTCCGCCACATTTTATTTAGTATTCAGCCTTCTTTTTTTTCTTCTCCTCCTCCTCCTCATTTTATTTAGTATTCAGCGTTCTTCTTTTTTTTCTCCTCCTCATTTTATTTAGTATTCAGCCTTCTTTTTTTTCTTCTCCTCCTCCTCCTCATTTTATTTAGTATTCAGCGTTCTTCTTTTTTTTCTTCTTCTCCTCCTCCTCCTCCTCCTCATTTTATTTAGTAGTCAGCGTTTTTCTTTTTTTTTCTTCTCCTCCTCATTTTATTTAGTATTCAGCGTTCTTCTTTTTTTTTCTCCTCCTCCTCCTCATTTTATTTAGTATTCAGCCTTCTTTTTTTTTCTTCTCCTCCTCCTCCTCATTTTATTTAGTATTCAGCGTTCTTCTTTTTTTTCTTCTTCTCCTCCTCCTCCTCCTCCTCATTTTATTTAGTAGTCAGCGTTTTTCTTTTTTTCTCCTCCTCCTCCACATTTTATTTAGTATTCAGCCTTCTTTTTTTTCTTCTCCTCCTCCACATTTTATTTAGTATTCAGCCTTCTTTTTTTTTTCTCCTCCTCCTCATTTTATTTAGTATTCAGCGTTCTTCTTTTTTTTTAGTATTTCTCCTCCTCCTCCCCTACTCATTTTATTTAGTGTTCAGCGTTCTTCATTTTTTTTCTTCTCCTCCTCCGCCACATTTTATTTAGTATTCAGCCTTCTTTTTTTTTTCTTCTCCTCCTCCTCCTCATTTTATTTAGTATTCAGCGTTCTTCTTTTTTTCTCCTCCTCATTTTTTATTTAGTATTCAGCCTTCTTTTTTTCTTCTCCTCCTCCTCCTCATTTTATTTAGTATTCAGCGTTCTTCTTTTTTTCTTCTTCTCCTCCTCCTCCTCCTCCTCATTTTATTTAGTAGTCAGCGTTTTTCTTTTTTTTTCTTCTCCTCCTCATTTTATTTAGTATTCAGCGTTCTTCTTTTTTTTTCTCCTCCTCCTCCTCATTTTATTTAGTATTCAGCCTTCTTTTTTTTTCTTCTCCTCCTCCTCCTCATTTTATTTAGTATTCAGCGTTCTTCTTTTTTTTTCTTCTCCTCCTCATTTTATTTAGTATTCAGCCTTTTTTTTCTTCTCCTCCTCCTCATTTTATTTAGTATTCAGTGTTTTTCTTTTTTTTTCTTCTCCTCCTCCTCATTTTATTTAGTATTCAGTGCTTTTCTTTTTTTTCTTCTCCTCCTCCTCCTCCTCCTCCTCCTCCTCCACATTTTATTTAGTATTCAGCCTTCTTTTTTTTCTTCTCATCCTCCTCATTTTTTTAGTTATCAGCGTTCTTATTTTTTTGCTTCTCCTCCTCCTCCTCATTTTATTTAGAGTTCTGCGTTCTTCTTTTTTTCTTCTCCTCCTCTTCCAGATTTAATTTAGTATTCAGTGTTCTTCTTTTTTTCTTCTCCTCCTCCACATTTTATTTAGTATTCAGCCTTCTTTTTTTTCTTCTCCTCCTCCACATTTTATTTAGTATTCAGCATTATTTTTTTTCTTCTCCTCCTCCTCTTTTTATTTAATATTCAGCGTTGTTCTTTTTTTCTTTCTCCTCCTCCTCCCCCTACTCATTTTATTTAGTATTCAGCGTTCTTCTTTTTTTTCTTCTCCTCCTCCTCATTTTATTTAGGATTCAGCCTTCTTTTTTTTCTTCTCCTCCTCCACATTTTATTTAGTATTCAGCCTTCCTTTTTTCCTTCTCCTCCTCCTCATTTTATTTAGTATTCAGCCGTAATTTTTTCTTCTCCTCCCCCACATTTTATTTAGTATTCAGCCTTCTTTTTTTTCTTCTCCTCCTCCTCATTTTATTTAGTATTCAGCGTTCTTATTTTTTTTCTTTCTCCTCCTCCTCCCCCTACTCATTTAATTTAGTGTTCAGCGTTCTTCTTTTTCTTCTTCTCCTCCTCTTCCAGATTTTATTTAGTATTCAGCGTTCTTCTTTATTTTTTCTCCTCCTCCTCATTTTATTTAGTATTCAGCCTTCTTTTTTTTCTTCTCCTCCTCCACATTTTATTTAGTATTCAGCCTTCTTTTTTTTCTTCTCCTCCTCCTCATTTTATTTAGTATTCAGCGTTCTCCTTTTTTTTCTTTCTCCTCCTCCTCCCCTACTCATTTTATTTAGTATTCAGCGTTCTTCTTTTTTTTCTTCTCCTCCTCCTCATTTTATTTAGTATTCAGCCTTCTTTTTTTTCTTCTCCTACTCCACATTTTATTTAGTATTCAGCCTTCTTTTTTCTTCTCCTCCTCCTGATTTTATTTAGTATTCAGCGTTCTTCTTTTTTTTCTTTCTCCTCCTCATCCCCCTACTCATTTTATTTAGTGTTCAGCCTTCTTTTTTTTCTTCTCCTCCTCCTCCTCATTTTATTTAGTATTCAGCGTTCTTCTTTTTTTTCTTCTTCTCCTTCTCCTCCTCCTACTCCTCCTCATTTTATTTAGTATTCAGCGTTCTTCTTTTTTTTTCTTCTCCTCCTCATTTTATTTAGTATTCAGCGTTCTTCTTTTTTTTCTTTCTCCTCCTCCTCCAGATTTTATTTAGTATTCAGCGTTCTTCTTTTTTTTTCTTCTCCTCCTCCTCCACATTTTATTTTGTATTCAGCCTTCTTTTTTTTCTTCTCCTCCTCCTCATTTTATTTAGTATTCAGCGTTCTTCTTTTTTTTCTTTCTCCTCCTCCTCCCCTCACTCATTTTATTTAGTATTCAGCGTTCTTCTTTTTTTTCTTCTCCTCCTCCTCATTTTATTTAGGATTCAGCCTTCTTTTTTTTCTTCTCCTCCTCCACATTTTATTTAGTATTCAGCCTTCTTTTTTTTCTTCTCCTCCTCCTCATTTTATTTAGTATTCAGCCGTCTTTTTTTTCTTCTCCTCCCAAACATTTTATTTAGTATTCAGCCTTCTTTTTTTTCTTCTCCTCCTCCTCATTTTATTTAGTATTCAGCGTTCTTCTTTTTTTTCTTCTCCTCCTCCGCCACATTTTATTTAGTATTCAGCCTTTTTTTTTTCTTCTCCTCCTCCTCTTCATTTTATTTAGTATTCAGCGTTCTTCTTTTTTCTCCTCCTCCTCCTCCTCATTTTATTTAGTATTCAGCCTTCTTTTTTTTCTTCTCCTCCTCCTCCTCATTTTATTTAGTATTCAGCGTTCTTTTTTTTTTTTTTCCTCCTCCTCCTCCTCCTCATTTTATTTAGTATTCAGCGTTCTTCTTTTTTTTTCTTCTCCTCCTCATTTTATTTAGTATTCAGCGTTCTTCTTTTTTTCTTTCTCCTCCTCCGCCACATTTTATTTATTATTCATTCTTTTTTTCTTCTCCTCCTCCTCCTCATTTTATTTATTATTCAGCGTTCTTCTTTTTTTCTCTCCTCCTCCTCATTTTATTTAGTATTCAGCCTTTTTTTTTTCTTCTCCTCCTCCTCCTCATTTTATTTAGTATTCAGCTTTCTTTTTTTTTCTTCTCTCCTCCTCCTCCTCCTCCTCATTTTATTTAGTATTCAGCGTTCTTCTTTTTTTTCTTCTCCTCCTCATTTTATTTAGTATTCAGCGTTCTTCTTTTTTCTTTCTCCTCCTCCTCCTCCAGATTTTATTTAGTATTCAGCGTTCTTCTTTTTTTTCTTCTCCTCCTCCTCCACATTTTATTTAGTATTCAGCCTTCTTTTTTTTCTTCTCCTCCTCCTCCTCATTTTATTTAGTATTCAGCGTTCTTCTTTTTTTTCTCCTCCTCCTCCACATTTTATTTAGCATTCAGCCTTTTTTTTTTCTTCTCCTCCTCCTCATTTTATTTAGTATTCAGCCTTCTTTTTTTTCTTCTCCTCCTCCACATTTTATTTAGTATTCAGCCTTCTTTTTTTCTTCTCCTCCTCCTCATTTTATTTAGTATTCAGCGTTCTTCTTTTTTTTCTTTCTCCTCCTCCTCCCCCTACTCATTTTATTTAGTGTTCAGCGTTCTTCTTTTTTTTCTTCTCCTCCTCCTGATTTTATTTAGTATTCAGCGTTCTTCTTTTTTTTCTTCTCCTCCTCCTCATTTTATTTATTATTCAGCCTTCTTTTTTTTCTTCTCCTCCTCCACATTTTATTTAGTATTCAGCCTTCTTTTTTTTCTTCTCCTCCTCCTCATTTTATTTAGTATTCAGCGTTCTTCTTTTTTTCTTTCTCCTCCTCCTCCCCTACTCATTTTATTTAGTGTTCAGCGTTCTTCTTTTTTTTCTTCTCCTCCTCCGCCACATTTTATTTAGTATTCAGCCTTTTTTTTTCTTCTCCTCCTCCTCCTCATTTTATTTAGTATTCAGCGTTCTTCTTTTTTTTTCCTCCTCCAGCCTCTCTCCTCCTCCTCCTCATTTTATTTAGTAGTCAGCGTTTTTCTTTTTTTTTCTTCTTCCTCCTCCTCCTCCTCATTTTATTTAGTCATTCAGCGTCTCCTTTTTATTTAGTATTCAGCGTTTTTTTTTTTTCTTTCTCCTCCTCCTCCAGATTTTATTTAGTATTCAGCGTTCTTCTTTTTTCTTCTCCTCCTCCTCCTCCACATTTTATTTAGTATTCAGCCTTCTTTTTTTTCTTCTCCTCCTCCTCCTCATTTTATTTCGTATTCAGCGTTCTTCTTTTTTTTTCTCCTCCTCCTCCTCATTTTATTTAGTATTCAGCCTTCTTTTTTTTCTTCTCCTCCTCCTCCTCATTTTATTTAGTATTCAGCGTTCTTCTTTTTTTCTTTCTCCTCCTCCTCCTCCTCATTTTATTTAGTGTTCAGCGTTCTTCATTTTTTTTTGCCACATTTTAGTCTTCAGTCGCCATTGTTTCCTCCTTTTTTTTTCTTGTCACTTGTTTTCAACTCCTTCCTTTTCTCCCCTAATTGCCTTCTGTTTCTCAACATACTTATGAAAACAATTGCTGAGAAGATTTAAGGATAAAAGGTAAACATGGAGAAGCTTAATCTATGAATACAACTTACAGAAATGATATTATGCCCGCAAACACACACACATACGCAAACCAACTCCAACAACAACAACAACAGTTCATATCATTACTGCATTGTGACATACAAATCTATATAAAGAGTTATACACAAATGTCTATCAATATATACACAGGTGTATATTCAGATACACCAAGGAGTATATAAAATATATCAATGGTTAAGTATTTGAGTTTATTTTATTAAGGTCACTTTCCAATTTCGTCCATTTTTTGTAAATTTATTCGGCTGAGTCATAAATAATTTCCGTTTATATTTAGCAGTTTTATTTTTCAAAAAATTATATTTTATTCCATTCAATATCTAAATGGTATTTTTTGACTGTTTTTTTTTTTACTTAGTATTCGAACCCTGATTTTTCTTACTTGCAATGACTTGTTGTCGCTTATCAGGCATATTTTCGACATATTGTGAGTAAAATTCCACAGATTTTGACGTGAAAGTTTTTCCAGGAGCTCTTGAGTTTGGTTTTTAATAAAAAAGGAAAGTTTTCTTCATCAAAGCGTTTCGCATCAATCAAAAAAAGGTAATAATCGGATGTTAGATGAATATGGCGGATGGGGTAGAAATGACCAGCCGAGTTCCAAAATATTTTCTGTTATTTCTATGTCGTTGTCATGGGAAATAACATTTCTCCGTTAATCCGCGGATGATTAGTCAAGATGATTATATTTGGTCATCCAGTTGGTTTCCAAAAATGGAAATTACTTATGACACAATAAAATCTGATAAAAATTGGAAAATGTGCACAAATTAATTTCTAAAGGATAATTTTAAACCAATCACTACTCTTGAATTTTAAACCAATCACTAATCATAAATTTTAAACCAATCACTACTCACAAATTTTAAACCAATCACTACCCATAAATTTTAAACCAATCACTACTCATCAATTTTAAACCAATCACTATTCATAAAAGGACTTGCGGTTAGTGTAACAATTATTAGGTCGGAAAATGGAATCGACGAACCTAGTTCAGTTTTCGGCTTAGTCTGTCGCATTCATATCGTACAAATGTCCTTGAGAAACGGATGAATCCATTTCTTTTCCATATTCCCCGCCCTTAACCATGAGTAGCGGTCAGTCTAATAGAATGGTAATTCAAAATCAGTGAAGAACGCAACAGGAAACCACTCCACTGTTTTTCACAAGAATGTATATCAATTCACATATAATAAAGACAAGAAATTCACGGTGAACTGTGTTCGCCTACGTCCTAAGAGGACATGACAATTAAAAAAATACCACCAAAATTTCTACTTACGATTTATGAGCCAGATATTTTTTGTCTTAGTGTCGAGTTTTAAAACTTAGGATTTCGAACCCAGGTTCTTAAAGATTGTCTTTCTTTCTCCACCCCGGCGATAGAAAGATTTTTTGATGATATTAAATAAACATAAAATATATACTACCAATATAAAATATATATCTATTGCTCATTCGGTTTTATCGAATTTGTTTACACATCCAATGATCAGAATAAGGCAGGACTTGAAATTATGATATTTTGAGTTAGGGCAAAGAAACTATAACTGCTATATTGGTAGTACATACGTTTACAAAACTGTTATCATCTCGTACATTAATATAGTTATACAGTATTTGATGTCTTTGTACTTATTAATATATTTATATATAAAAGTCCTAAAATATAGTCAGCTAGACATAAAGAATTTCGTCTGTCTGCAACAAAGTATCGTTTCCTTATTTCCAAGTAAAAGCTATGAGCAAGCGTAAGGTCTTCAGACACTTTGATAATAACAAAGATATCACCGTTTTCAGACGAAGTAACAAAGAAAAAGAAGCAAGAAATGAAAAAGGAAATAAATAAAATGTCCGCCAGTGTATAAAATACTTTCGGAGACCTGCAACTTTTATGCGGTCTTCTTTATTTCATTGTCTGAATTTCGATAGTGATGCGACATTTTTATCTCGTTTGATACTTTTCTGATTGAACATTTCTTTTCCTTGTCGCCCATTCGATTTTTTTTTGTTTTTTGCACTGAATCAAAGTGTTGCCATGTGAGCATGCGTGAATAACTGATCATGTACGTATATAGACGTCATTGCAACTCACTTATTTCGATATGCTTGGCGATTGAAAGTGTTGCATATTTTTCTTCGCTGTCCGAGCTCAGGTTAAATAAAAAAAAGCATAAAAAAGAAAAAACTTAGAGACATTTTAATGAGAAGAATGACGCAACACATTCTTTTTGTTCACTTTTAGCACATTTGTGAAAATTTAAACTCCGTAATATCTAAATGGTATCAGTATCTATCTATATAAATTTTGTTCATTTAAACAGAAATTTTCTAAAATTCTACCGACAATGTCGGTTTAATTTTTCATTGTATTTTTCTTAATTGTTAAGCGGCCATTGTAAATTAAAATGGTCGATACACTGTTCAAAATTTCACGATTTTGTTTTTGTTCGAGTATTTTCGAGGGTCTCTATCATTAAAAATATTGTTTACTACAGAAAACGGCAATGCAAAGTGTGTAAAAAATTTAATTTGCATATAATAATAATAATAATAATAATAATAATAATAATAATGACAATAATAATAATAATAACAATGACAATGATAATGTGCATAGAATATTTGAAACATTTGTTTTCCAATGCTGTGTGAAATTTTTTCATGACAACACTTATACGATACACTTAAGTTTGAATTTGAAAGTTTCAAAAATGTCAGGACGAAATCAACATAATCTTTTCTGACAAAAGTGACAATACTTAGTTCTTGAAGATGACTGTGACGACTTGAAAGGACTCAAACAAAAACTAGAACAAGAGAATAAAATTTGGATAGTTTATCCATCATTTTCATTTTGGATGTACAAAAACCAATTTCGAAAATAAGAAAAATACAATAACAATTAAACAGAGAGTCCTTGTCGTTTGAATTTCGTAACAGTTGTTTTTTTGCAGTGTCAATATAAGTTATTTTTATAATTCTATTTGTACATATCTCATATAATCCCTTCGAACCTCCCCCCTCTCTCTCTTTCTCTATCTCTTTTCAGGATGTAGAGGTTTTGTAATTGATAGGGGATCGGAATGAGAAATTAGAGTGCAGAGTTCGAATTCCAGTCGAGGTCGTTACACTTACACGCAAATACCATTGGGAAAAGTCTTATTTACACCTGCTATCAATTAAATAGTAGGCCTTTAATCTGTAGAACATTGTTGTTCTCAAAAAAAATATTAATGCAATATTCACTCGCAAGAAGTAAATCATTTATATTAAAATCCAAAATAGATTTCGGCTTCAAATGTCCCACAAATAGGGTAAAAAGCCGGAAGAAAGATAAACAAATCAATCTCTCTTTCCATGCCCGTACGCACAGACAAAGAGAGAAACGGGCATCCCATATACAGGATGCCATTTTATATTTTTAATTTCGCGCATGCGCATTGTTTATTTCTGATTTTGACAATTGCACAGTATAGTAGGGTAGTTTGGCAACATCTGTGAGAAAAAGAGCACCATGGCGCAATTCACTTGGCCAGAAATTTGGAAACGACATGCTGTACTGCTTGGAATTCGCACCGGAAGCTTCAATACGAACATTTCAGAGTGTTTGGGTGTCAATATGAGGACAAGATTCGGAAAGAGTTGGATGATATATCCAGTCAACATCATGGTGTTTGGAGTGATCACTAGTGACAGCGACTTTATGCCTCCATTCATCTTCCCACAGGACCTCAAACACAACATAGACGGCTATGTCATGAGGAGACAGTGCTGCTCTGGGTTATGAGGGTAGCTGCTGGAAACCCCATGTCTGGCAACAGTACTTTGACCAATGCCACACAAGCAGGAGAACACAGACATGGCTGTCAGACGATATCTGCAACCACACCACCCCTTACATTTGGCCACCTAACTTCTCAGACGACACCCCCTTGATTATTATGTGTAGACCACAGTTGAGCAGTTGAGAGAGAAACCAAGGAAGCTTCTTGTAACACCAAAGATGAACTAAAAGAAAGGATTATGAAAGCATTCACCAACTTAAACAAGGAGACTACCCAGAAGATTTGCGGGAGATTCCGAAGTCATGTGGAAGCTGTGGTTAAAGGCAATGGCGATTTTATTGAATAAATTTATTCGTTAGTTTTTCAAGATATTTTGTGCAATTTTGGTAAATATATCTGTTAAAATGAGATGTCAGTGTTATATTCATTTTTGCGTAACTTAGACGACAATTTATCCAACACGCCCTCTCCCCCTCCCTCTCCTCTCTCTCTCTCTCTCTATATATATATATATATAATCGGTCTCACTCTATTATTTGTTTTCCATTTGTCTTCGTGGTTGAAAATGGCTGTGAACCCCACATTTACCATTAGTGTCTGCAATAGCAGATATAAAACTATATTCAACTGATTGAAACTCGAGACAGTTTCTTAAATAGCCTCGTCAGATCGAAACTTTTATAGGGATGTCATACATGGCGCCAAACTCATTCAGAAATATCTAAGCTGTCTACTGTATACACAATACTTTAAATAAAAGGTTAGGGAGTAAAGCCTCGTCAATACTTGAACAACAGAAAAGCTTGAGAAACCTATTTTTCTTTATGTTGCCAGACATAGGTTCTTTCAAGTGAAAGATTTTATAAATTTTCAACCTACTGACTGCTCGATCAAAGAATGATAAATATTTCGTTATAAGGAAACGGTTAGTAATACCATAACCATTACCATTAACCGTTAAATTAATTTTCGTTCGCAGACATAAGCAAGG